TTTTGGAGTCAGAACCCCACTCTGACGCCCAGGCTGGAGTGCAGTGGCACGCTCATGGCCACAGCAGCCTCGACCTGCCGGGCTCAGGTGATCCTTCTCCCTCAGCCTCCCAAGTAGCTGGAACCGCAGACATGCACACCACCACGCCCGGCTCCTTTTTATTTATTTATTGTAGGGACGAGGTCTGGTCAAGTTGCCCAGGCTGGTCTCAAATCCCTGGGCACAGGCAATCCTCTTGTCTCAGCCTCCCAAAGAGCTGGGATTACACGCGTCAGTCACCGTGCCCGGCAATTTTTATACTTTTAGAAATAATTTTTAATGACAGGATATGCATATGGTTGAAATAACATTACACTTTGCACTTTCCTGTTGGGTACGTTTCACTTTAATAAAGTTTACCAACAAAGATTTTTTTCAACTTTCTTACTTGGGATGATGGTGGTAGGGAGGGTGTTAAAATTCCTAACTTGAAGGAAACATCTTTTTTCCTCGAAATTTATTTCAAGAACTTCAGGTATCTATCTCACTTAAAATAGGGTTCATCTGGAAAACTTTGGCTCCCAATGCCTTGGTAAAGTATGCAGGCTACAGGAATTATTTTATCACGTCCCCTATTCCAAAGCTGTTCCTGGGGCCCCTCTGTAGAGCAGCAGGCGCCGGCCAGAAATGAGACGGTTAATTAAGGAATGGCGGGCGGGATACGGTGTGGGCTGAAAGATACACCGGTGGGTCGGGCAGGCCCACGGGCGCTCCAGGAAGCAGGGTTGGGCTCACCCCTCCACGTGCCCACGCAGCAGCCTGGCTGGGCGACCCGGGAGACGGCTGGGCACGCAAGCAGAAGCTCTCCGCGGTGGCGCCCAGGACAGAGAGCTGCGCTGGCAAAGGTCAGGTGAAAACACACAGGGAAGGGCTCTGCCGGTAAAGGCTCCGGTGGATCGAAGAGGCTGGAGCCAGGTCTACCTCCCGCAGCGGCAGTCTCGGGGGCGGGGCCTCGCCGCAGGCGTCCCAGGGGCGGGGCTTACGGAAGGCCCGCGGAGGGGCGCGGCCTCCGAAAACGGACCAGCCGGGGCTGACTCTGACCGCGGCGGCCCTTCTGGAAGAGCGCGGGTGTAAACGGCGCCTGACCTGCCTCCCTACCTGCCGGCGGGAGAAAAGAGCGGTCCCTGGCTGCAGCACCCGGGAGCCGCAACGCTGGCACAGCACCGCCTTCCGGTTTCGGCCCTCGGCTGACACTAACTCGTTCAGCTGCTCCGCTGGTTCCATCGCCGCTACCGCCACAGCCTGCTTGGCCACGACCGCGCAGGCGCTGTCTCTCAGGGCTCGTTCGTAACTGGGCGGGCGTGGCTTGGAAGAGGCGGGGCGGGGCGCAGACGAGCACACCTTATCTGCGCAGGCGCCTGCCTCCGGCGCGCCGCACGCTATTGCGCAAGCGCCCTCTTTCATTTCTAAATCGTACTGTCGGTAGGCTTTGTGACAGAGTCACTTCCTGAAGCCGTTGACAAATCTCCGTACCCACCAGGGCGCTGGGCTTCTCTTAAGACTTAGACAGATGAGTCATTAGGATTACCTTATTGTTTAGTTTTCTGAGATTTGAATTGTCTCCTGAATGAATGGGGACATTATTGGGGGCAATGTGAAGGGAACCTGGGTCGGCCTCCCAATTCCAGTAGCGTCTTCTACAGGAAACTACCTAGAGAGACACGCCCCTTTTTTGGTGTTGGAAGAAGATACCTGGAAGCTTTCATTGCTGGTCTCTGTTCTAATCACAGAGACCATTTATTATGCATCAAAACATCTTGTTGAAGCGCTTCTAGATATGTATTAAATCACCAGTTTCCTTATGGGGTTGGCACTGTTGTACCCAAAATGAAGGTAAAGATCAGAAATGTTACTTTCCAGGGTCCATAGACACAGGCGCAGCTCTAAAGCCACTCCTTTTAGTTACACTAAACAGTACTTTCTCATTCATGTTTAATCTTCAGTTCTCCAGCTTATTAGTTCTACTACATCAAGCCTTGTGTTCCCTGAAATGGGCAGGGAAAGCAGAATATGAGGGGGGACTAAACCACCTGATTAAATGATGTCTAATCTACCCACCACCCCCATCTGGACTTTCTTCTTCTTTTTCCTCTTTGTTCTTCATTAATTCCATTTTTAGATATAGCAAACACTATGCTAAACCTCTAGGACACAATGACAACACGCACTTTGCATTTGAAAATGTAGCCTAAGCCGGCTCGGTGGCTCAGCGGGATGCTCGGTGCCTCAGCATGTAATCCCGCGTCCTGGAGGCTGAGGTGAGTGGATAGCCTGAGCCTGCGGGTTTGTGACCCGCCTGGGCAACTTGGTGAGACCTCATCTCTACAATAAATAAAAAAAAAATTAGCTGGGTGTGATAGCACGTGCCTGTAGTTCCAGCTACTTGGAAGACTGAGTGGAAGGATCGCCGGAACCCAGCAGGTCGAGGCTGCGGTGGCCGGGAGCGGCCACTGCACTCTAGTCTGGGCGACAGAGTGAGACTCCAAAGCAAAAAAAATTTTTAAAAAATCAAAAAACAATAGATACTGGTGCAGAAGTGGTGAAAAAGGAACACTTATACATTGTTGGTGGGAGTATAAATTAGTACAACCTCTAGGGAAATTACTATGGCGATTTCTCAAAGAACTAAAGGTAGATCTACCATTTGATCCAGCAATCCCACTACTGGGTATCTATCTACCCAAAGGAACAGATATCATTATATAAAAAAGACACTTGCATTCGCATGTCCATCACAGCACAATTTACAATTCCAAAGATGTGGAATCAGGCTAAATGCCCATCAGCTAGTCAGTGGATAATGAAAATGTGATATATACACTGTGGAAAACTATTCAGCCATCAAAAAAGAATGAAATCATGTCTTCTGCAGCAATTTGAATAGAACTGAAGAACATCCTAAGTGAACTAACACAGGAACAGAAAACCAAACAACATGTGTTTTCACTTATAAGTGTCAGCTAAATTAATGATCTGCAAAGGCAGATGGATATCGGAGACTTGGTGGGAAAAAGGATGGGGGGATTAAAAATCACCTGTTGGGTACAATACAATGTGCATAGATGGGAGTGGTGGGTACACGGAAAGTCAATACTTTT